TGCCCTGCCTTGGACACGGGCCCTGATGCCAGGGCAGTGAGAGCCTTGTGAACAGGCACTGAGGGAGGGACTGCCTTCCCTCACTCTGGGCAGACGCCACTGATCTGAGCAACACCCTGGCAGATCACCCCGAATGCTTCAGAATAAGAATTGCAGGCCCTGCCAGGCCAGGGCAATGAGGGAAGGGTTTGCTGCTCAGAGGCAGCTCCCTCTCGGCTGTCACTTCTGTTTGCTGAGGCACTGCTCTGCTGGGCAGCCTCTGGGGTGGGGCGGGGCGGGGGGCAGGAACTTCCCCACTGCGCCCACCTCCAGGTGCTGCCGCACCTGCACTTTGATCTTGGCCTCCATGCTGCAAAATGAGATGTTCAGGGGTTCAAAGCCACTCCCAACCCTCACTGCAGAAGCAGGGTGTGGCCTTTCCTCAGCACTGCGCAGGTTTGAAGTTCTAAAAGACAGATTGACAGCACATTCTTTTTTGTTTGTTTAAAGAAAACCATGATATTTTTAATTTTTAAAAAGAACTAGTTTGTACATTATTTAAAAAACAAAACAATGTAGCCTGTGAACACAAGTGGTAGGTTCCCGATCCAAGGGTCTCTGGAGAGGGGCGTGGTCTCCTCCCTGTATCACCTCATTTCATGTGGCCAGCCAGGCAACTCGTTGCCAGGGGAGCTAGAAAGGGGTTTAGGGTTCCATCTTCCTCCCCCAAAGCAGACAAGACTTGAGGGCCAAGTGGAACATACTGGAGAGAGAGGGCCTGAAGCTACAGGGCAGGAGCTGTCCCCTGTAGGCGCAGACCTAGGGGCAGCCCACACTGTTATGTCCTTATATTCTCAGTCTTTCTAGGTGTCCTCAGGTGGCTTTTCTCAGTAGAGACCAGGCTGCTTGGCCCCTCTGTGACACCTTCAGTGTGGCCCAGCAGTGGGCAGGTCAAGGCTGGCAAAAGGATGTATCCAGGGTCCAGGCACTGTACAAGCAGAAAGTCTGTGCGGAGATGGGTGCCAACACTGCGCACTGTCTGATGCCAACTCATTCAATCATCTGGAGACTTTGCCTTCACACTCGTGCCTGAGAACAAAGCCAAGGCTCCTAGAGCTCAGGTTTCTCCAACTCTTACACAGTGGTTTGCATAGTAAGAGTTATGGAGTCTACTTTTTTTTTTTTTTTTCCAATTTAAGAGTCTCACTGTGTAAACCAGACTGGCCTCAAACATGAGATTCTCCTGTCTCTGCCTCCTCAGTGCTGGGATTACAGGTGTGTGCCCCAATGCTCAGGTGGAGTAATGGATTTTAGAGGTTGAGCAGTTAAGGGAAATACATCCAGGGCTAGGAGCCTATGAGAGGAAGTTAGCCTCAGAGGTGTTCTCGACCTGTTTGTGCCATCTCCAAAGAGGTGTCACTTTACAAATACTTAGCTGTTGCTTTGTACCTGAGATGAGTCCCTGCAAAAGTGCCCAGCACAGAGCCTGGGTGCAGAGATCAGCTTCCCCCCTCTGTGCACCCTCTCCCCCGCTGCGCCAGCTGTGTGGAACGCAGACTGTCTTCAGGGAAGCCTGCCCTAGGCTAGTTTGCGTGGTGCTTTTGTTTGGGGTGGGGAGGGTGACCAGGCAGAGCTTTCAGCAGTCTCGGTGGATGAGGCAGTGCATTGGCCCTCGGCCCACACTTCCATCCTGTCCTCTGGAGGTTCTGTACTGTCAGACATTAGGGTTGGGTGGGGAGCCCTCCCAGGACCTTCTGCCCCAGGGAGCAAGTGCATTGGGGCAGCAGGATCTCCATGCTTCTGGCGTAGATGTCAAGGAGAGCGGATCTTCCACTCTTAAAATCGTGCCTCACACAGCTCTGCAGCGAGGCTGCACAGCCAGCTTCCCAAGTGTAGTCTAGATTCTTCTGGGTGCCTGTCACCCGGCTCCCCTTTCACTTCCTGATAACCTTGATACTGAAGCGTAAGCTTCAGAAATGAGGTGGTGGGCTGGGGTATGGCTCAGTGGTAGAGTGCCTGGGCTCCATCCCAAAAAGGTGACTTTTAATGTTATATTCCTTTGAATGACAGTATTTTCCCTAATGATTCCAGCATTCATCACACATCACGGTCCATCAAGGGCAGTGCTCCAATGACCAGTAACAAGGCCAGGGTCCTCATCCGGATGTTGGTGCAGAGAGGGTTCTAGCCCAACCAGACCTTGGGCTGAGGCCCTCCCCTGTGTCACCCTTTGCCCCTCGTCTTTGGCCTGTGCTGGCCTCACGCCATCCTGGGAACATGAGAAACCCATGTGTGCTGTGGTCCTGCCAGCCGGGGCCCAACAGGCCCAGTGCGCTCCGGAGCTTGTGCTCACAGGGCCATTCCACCTTCTTGCTAACAAGGAGGTCCGCTGTCCTCTGCTCAGACGCAGCAGCTCCTGGAAGCCCCTGACCAAGGGCCCCGGGGGTCCTTAGGCTTTTCACCCATGACCAGGCCTGACGGCTGATGTCAGGCTACTTCCCAGCAAAATGCGCCAGGTCAGGAGCTCTGGGTTTTGTTCCAAGGGCATATTTGCTGCACAGTGAGTAAAGTCATTAACTAGGGTTGACGTCACAAGGATGAACCCCCACTAACCAGAGCCTCCCCTCCCCCATTCCTCAGTATTGAGCGTGAACTGCAGAAGCTGAAAGAAGAGTCGGGTGAGGGCAGCTGGTCGAGTAGAGACTTACAGGTCGCTCTGGGACTGACCCAGGAGGACAGGGCAGTAGGGGAGTGAGGGCAAGTTCTCCTTGGCTCCCTCTATGTTGGTGTAGGGCTCTGATGCTCACGCTGTGCTAGGGGTGGTGTTCCTGTGGCCCGAGGGGTGGGTGACTTCAGGGACGAGGAGACTGTCAGCCAGTGGAGACAATGTCTCCACTGACATTGGAACCCGGAAGCCTGGTGCCCACGTCACCTCTGTGTCTGTGACTCCACGCCTCCTCAGCTGCAAAGAAAGGGGCCACCTAGGCCTCTGGGGCAGGCCCACCAGAATGAGAAAAGGGCTGGGAGGCAGTCAGACCCCTGCTGTACCCACAGTCATCATGAGCCCCCTGTGCCACTGAATACCAAAAATGGGGTCAGTCCAAGTGTGCTGCATGTATTGTCTGCACAGCCCACCTCAAAGGCTTTCTGCAAAAATATTTTTATATTGATTACATATTGAAATAATTTGGGCTCTATTCAGTTAAATAAAACACTAAAATTATTTAACTGTCTTTAGAGTTGTTAAATGTGCCAGTAGGAAGGTGTACCCTTCACATTTGGCTGGAGCTACCGTTCACTGGCCACCCAGTGCAAAGGTAGCTCCTCCCGAGGCAACCCCGTAATTGTGGTCACCTCCACGTGCAGGGCTGTGAGCTGTGTGGAGACCCTGTGGGTCTAGTGCTGAAGTAGCTGCTGGGGGACAGGCTACCTCTCCGAGAGCCTCTGTCCCCAGGCCAGGTCGCAGCCTTCTCTCCCTGCAGGGAGTACACTACTTTCCTCTTTTGGGACAAGGGCGGGCTCTTGGTAGAATCATTAGTTCTTGGACCTCACGCAGTTCATGGAACCAGTTGCTTGTCTTTCTCACCCCAGCCCTTCCTGGGTGTATGTGACGGTGTGTCAGCAAGCTTGCACTCCATCTGTCCTCAACAGGCAGAAACCAAGCACTTGCTGGCCTCTCTGCCTTCTCAGCTGGCTCAGGCTCCCTCCTGACACCTATACCTGTTGGGGCTCCCCCTGTGCACTGCCCACCCCAGGGTTCAATGGGCCAAAGCCGTGGTGGCCTAGACGTCTTGGCACCCACCTTCTGCTCTTTTGGGTTTGAGCAGGGGCGCGCGTTGTGGACTCTTCACGGCTGAGGTGTGAGCAGGGACCAGGGAGAAGGGCTCCTATAGATCCAAGAAGGGCCACCGTCGCGCCTTTGGCTCTTGCTTGCTAGCCTAGACGAACAGATTGCAGCTCTGAGGTGAGACGCTGCACAGCTCAAATGACTCGGAGCAGGACAGTTTCCCAGTTGTCTCTCCAGCAAGTAAAGCTGAAGGTCAGTTTCAGATTGTCAGCTCCCAAGTCCCTGTGTGAAAACCGCACAGTGTTCGCTGAGAGCTTAAAGGTTTGTCGTTTGTAAACACTGCTAATGGAGAGAAACATCTTTCAGGACAGTTTAGGAGAAGGTTGTGCTCCTGGAACTGAGAATTTGTAGCTCCAGTGTTGCACTGTTGTAATCTTTAAATTATTCCTAATAAATGAGCGCCACATTTTGATGTAACTCCATGCAGCCCAGGAATAAGTGCAAAGAACTGTACGTGCCCTTGCTGTGTGAGGGTGAGCTCCAGGCTGTGTGAGGGTGAGCTCCTGAGCCGGCCTGTGCTGCAGGCCCTGGTGAGCCTGCCTTCCTCCTGCCCGTAGCCCAGGTTTTACTAGCAGGTGCAGGGCAGGCTGCATTGTCCTGGGAACTCCCACTCCTTCCCCTGGGTCCAGCTGCATCCTCCTGGCAGAACCCCACCCAGCCTGGACTCCCCTCCTGTATCTCTGGGCCTATATGCTGGAGGTCAGCCAAAGCCGGAGGGTGCCAGCCACGTACCACTCAGCAAGAGTGTAAGAATGCCCCAGGAGGAAAGGTCTTTTAAAAAGTACGTGTAGGTTCTGCTCTCGGAAGCCAGGGAACCCTCTCCCCAGGGCTGAGCTGCAGCCCTGTCAGAAGGCTCTGACCATGCCCTGGAAGCACTTGCACTTGGACAGTGAAGTTCCAAAGAACCTGCTCCCCATCACAGCCAAGGCCAGCATGGGCTTCCTTCTGACAGGGTGAGGCACAAAGTCTTACCTCTGGCAGGGGTCTGGTTGCTCAGGTGGATGTGTTGAGCCGGCAGGAGCTAGGCAGGAGGAGCACAGGATGAGCTGAGGTGCTGGCTTCCGAACCCGGGGAACCTCACCGTGCCCTGGGCAGTGCTGGAGAAGGGTGAGCACAGGGGATTTGCTCACAGCCCTGGGTCTCGCTGGATTAATGTAAGCTGCTTTGTTTGCAGGGTTTATTGTCATCCCCAAACCAGGCCAGTTCTCCAGGTGGGACTGTAGTGTAGCGACCCCACCGCCGCTCCCAGAGCCCCCGGACACAGGTGGACTGGAGGGAGTGAGGAAGACCTCAACAGATCCACGAGCTGCGCTGGAGCCACGCAGGTGGCAGGCCTCAGGCAGGCCAGCGGAAGAACGGACGTGCAGAGGAGGTGTGGATGCCAGGCGGTACGGCACTGTGCCCTCTGCTGCTTACCCAAAGAGTTGCTCCTTTTCTCAAGTCAGTCTCTTGGGGCTGCAGTAAAAAATAAGAAACAGCGTTTTCTTGCTTTGTACTCTACAACCCAATGTACTAAAGTCTCACATAGATATAATATATTCATATATATACATATACATAGTGTAAAATACGATGTTTCTTAGAGAAGAAACCTTCAACTGTTGTAAATAGAACTTCACTGTTTTTGCACTGATTTTTTGTATACCATGGATGGTCAGAAGGCAACCTGGAATGCACTCATTAAGGACATTGTTACCTTCTGACTTAAATGTGTAATTCAGGAAGATGAAGGTTGCAATCATAGATTTTGAAAATTGCACTTAAGATAGTTTAATACTGCTAGCAAATGACTTTGAATATGGGTGTGGTAGATTCTTGGCCTCCAGGGCATGGAGTAAGATGCCCTTTGTATCTGTGGACAATTATTTTAATACTGTTATTTTCCATTGCACTCAACTCTGTATTATATATGTAAATAATTCTGCAGTTGGGGGAAAAAGTTACTTCACTAGTAATTTTCATCATTTAAGAGTGATATTTCTAATTCACAAAAACAATATTAAAATTATCTTGAATATACTATTTGTTAAATTTTGACTCAATTTTTGCTGAGTTGCTTGACTGGTATGGAACCATTTCATCCTCGGTACCCTGGATTCCTTGGAACCCTCTCCATCAGTGTCAGAATTGGGACAGTGGTTGGAAACGGGGATTCCTGTGGGGGTGCTTGGTCCCTCCTCATGGGCTCACCCCGCCTGAGGCACTGCAGGCAGATGCACATGCATGCAGACTCTGGCTCCCCACCTCACTTTTTCTTACAGCTTAGAGTCCATCCTTTTGCCTGCACATACAGGTTTCCACGTGGAGTAGGAGCGGCTTGGTCAGCTGTGCGCTGTGTGACTTGAGCAGGTGCAGAACCTCACACAGGGCTTCCAGAGGGTCGGTAGCAGCTTGCACAGAGCTCAGGTCACCCACTCCTACCTGTAGCCACTGCAGATGCTTAAAAAAAAAAATCACACACTACTGAATCTTTTGGAGGCTTTACTTAGCGTCTGAAACATTTCTGTGAGTGAGCACATTGATTTTGGGGCGTGTGGAAGGAATTGTGCTTTTTGAGATGTGCTTCGTTTTCATCCACTGTTGCAGCAAGTTGAGGGCATGGACAGTTCACAGCAGCAGCACAGGGCTTCAGCTCACCTTGGGTTTTCAGCTGACCCAGCTCAGGCTGGGAGGGCTGGTCTCACCCACTTGGAAGCTGCCACTGCCTGCGGGGCCTCTGGGAGCCTCTGGAAAGGTGTAAATAATGCAGAATACTAAGACACGCAATGTTTCTCTCTCCCTCCCTCCTTCCCCCGCCCCTGCCCCGCCCAGCCCAGCCTCAAGAGGGGATGACAGGGTCTCACTATGTTGGCCAGGCTGGTCTTGAACTCCTGGGCTCAAGTGATCCTCCCACCTTAGCCACCTGAGTAGCTAGGACTACAGTGTGTACACACCTGGCTAAGACTCACTGAAAGAATAAGAATTTATAAATTATAATACATTCTGAATGACCATATTAAAATGAAGAGACATCTTAGGCAGTTTGGTAGTTCTATCATCTTAAAGCACTGGTTACATAGAAAACTCACCCCTATGAGAGTTCAAAATACCTGCAGGTCAATCAGAAATCCGCACTTCTTAATTTAGTAATCCTCCTACGTCATTTTTTGCTCTCTTTCCTGTGTATTTGTAGAAAGTGACAGATGGAAATCCAGTTGACACCAGGGCAACAATTATATGTGTGAAAATCAGCTTGGTGTGGTGGTACCTACCTGTAATACCAGCTTCTTGAGACGTTGAGGCAGAAGGACCACAAGTTCAAGGCCAGACAGGGCACTTAGACTGTCTCAAAATAAAATAAAAATGGCTCGAGAATGTGGCTCAGTGGCAGAGCACTTGCCAAGCATGTGTGAGGCCCTGGGTTCTGTCCCCAGCACTGCAAAAAATAAAGCAGTTTGACCAGCTGACCTAGTTTCATTCCGCAGCTTTCACTGACCTGGAGATCAGTTGGGACTAGCTTGCCTCTGCTCAGCTTGTTGCCTTTTGTTGGGTTTGCACTTGGCCAGCTGTACTACAGCTGTTGATGTGTCCCAGTTTACTGTAGATGCTGCTGTGCCAGGAACAAATCCTTTCGGCCTTGTTCCTAAGATTGGTCCCTAGCCCGATGGTCCAAGATGGCTTCCAAACTCTGTCTTCTAACCCCAACGCTATCAGCATAGAGCGTTCAGCAAGCCCTAGACAGGTGGGAGTCAGCTCTACTTACCTGGTATGATCTGTGTCTGCTCTCACACTGTAGGAGAGTACTGTAGGAGTTAGTGAAGGTGGCTCCTCGCTGGGACCTGGGTCTGAAGGAAGCCGGAAGTCGGGGCTGGTGCCATGGAGAAGGGCAGGGTACAGCAGCCAACTCAGCTTGAGCTGCCCACACAGTGCACTTGCTGCATTCAGGTGTGGCCTGGGAAGGGCCTTCCCACGGGGCAGCAGAGCAGGAGACAGTGGGAGGTCATGATGGCACTGCCACCCATCTGCTCTGGGTGGTTGTACACTCAAGTCCCATCGGGGTCTTAATCCTCATACTGGCATGTGTGCATGTTAGCTCTGCCCAGCCACCACCCACAGGCCTCACTCTGTGCTCCTGCCCTGTTTTCCTTCTCTGAGCTCAGGAGGGCACAGGGGGTACTAGAAGTCAGCTAACACAGAAGGGCAGTCATCCGCGCCCATCAAGTGCTCAGCAGGCATCTGGGTAATGAACTAGGGTGGAGGGGGTGGGGCTGGGATTTGTCCTACTATTCTGGAGTTCTAGGGTGACATTCAAGTGCTTGAGAAGAACTTAAGTGACCTGGCCAGTCAGCCTTCACCATCTTTCTAATTTGGGAGTAGCAGAGACCCTGCCAGGGCTCTGGCAGCAGGGCCAAGTGGCCTCCTGTGAATTTGGCTGGGTTGGCCCCCAGGCCCTCAGCTCTGGCCAGCATCACCCAGAGAGAACTCAGGTGACAGGAGCTGCCCAGTCCCTTGGCTCTGCCAAGAGCGGGCAGGTGCAAACTCCAAACAAAATATAGGAAGCCCAAGAGTAGCCAACAGGATTCCCCTCTGTCCAAATCAGCGGGAGACTGGATTTGCTCACGTGAAGTTGATGCTCAGAACGCTGTGTGTGGGAGGCACTACCTGCTACCCCTAGGCAGAGTGTTTGTGCCAGAAACGGTGTGAAGCCAAGAGGTTTTCCCTGAGGCCTGGCCTGCCTCACAAAGCTGACGCTGCTGCCTCTGCCATGGGGAAGGGCAGTGTCCAGACAGGAAGGACACTAGGACCTGTAGATTATGTTTGCATTCCACAAAAGGCACAGAGAAGAAGGTGGGGATTTTCCTGTGTTTTATGTACTTGAAACAGTTCTAACTGCACAAATACTCATTGGTCCATAACGTGATCTTACTTAACTTAGAGCCAGTCCTCAGGACAGCAGTACACCCTTTGCTGCATCCTCTCTTGGGATTTATTCTCTGTCCCCTCAGCACAGCTTCCCTCCCTTGAAGGTCCTTCTTGGGGCCAGCCACCATGTCCACTCCTCTGGCTTGTCTGTGAGCCCTTTCTGCACTGAGCTGGTGGGAATCTGGTCTCCTCCATGGCTGTGAACCTGGCTGAGCATCCACTGCAGGCTCCCAGGCTCAGACAACTTCCCCCATGCCAGGACCCCTCCAGGGGCACTTGAGGGCCATATCAGGGCTCAGGTGAGTGTGGAGGAGGCCAGAACGCCCCTCCCTTAGGTCTCATTTTTGGTCTTGCACTTGTGTGGGTTGCATGCCCACTCCATGGTGCCCCACCTACATGTAGCTCCACATGCTCCTCCTATTACCCAGCTGTCCTGTGGTTCTCGCTGCCACCCCACTACTCTGCGGGTAGCCTGGGGTAGGGCCAGTGCAAAGACCTGGAAGGAAAGGATCAGAAATTTGCCTCAATAGAACAAAGAGACTAGACACTAACCTGAAAACTCTTTCTCGTCTTAATGTGTTTGAGAAGATGGAAAATACACACGCACACATTAGATGCATGCTATGCTATACAAAAAGAGGGTTAACAGAGGCTGGAGGAGCGACTGAGTGATAGAGCACTTGCCTACCAGCATGGGGTGGGGTGAGGCTTAGAAACTTGTCCCTGCGCCCAGCACCTGGCCCACGAGTGCCCTGCGCTTTGAATCCCCCAGGACCATGGTTACTCTGCAGTGTTCCCATCTCACCCCACAGTGCAACTGCTTCCTTTTTTAGGGCAACTTCAGATTGGCACTCTGAAAACAAGGCTCCAGGCACCACTGGCAACCAGGCAGTGGGTCCTGTGCACCCAGGGGAACCCATGCACCAGAAGCTGAGGTGCCATGTGCCCAGCTGTGGCTCAGTGGGGAGCAACAGGGGCTCTGAGGACAAGCTTGTCCTCATTCTCTGATGGTTTTTCAAGGGAGACACAACTAAGCCACACTAAAGTTTCCCTAACACAATCAATTATCCTAATACGGCCGCTAAAGCTAGGGCAAAGAAACAGCTACTAACAGTAAGTTCAAATCAGAGAATGTTAAGATGAACTGCTGTGGTGACAGCTTGTTCTTTAATAAAAATCAGCAGTCTCCAACAGCACAGCCTGGAAGGTGCTGCACACTGCCACAGCTGGAGCGCCCAGGGCACTGTGGGTAAAGAAGTAGAGACAGTAACATGCAGAACTCACCTTCCAACCAAGCCTGTCTCCACCTGGCCTTGAGCTCTCCGTCTTCCTGCGTCCACTTTCCCAGGGTTAGGATTACAGGCATGTGCCACCCGCTCCCAGCCTTATCTTTTTGATTCGTATAAAAGTTACAAAATATTTCCCACCTCAAATCTCTATGTTATGGAAATGAAATAAAATCCTAGGATGAGGTGGTTTTACAAATGTATTAAACTGGAACATACAGTACAGCTGTTTGGGGGATGCAAGCACGTGCTCAGGGGTAGTCCCGGGCTGGCCAGCTCCCGCTTGAGTCAGGCGAAGCCACAGGGCAGCGCATCCAGGGCCGCCAGGCCTCACATGGAGCCCATGCCAGGCATCTTCTTGGGCCTCCATCTACTGTCAGACACGGGCCCGGCCTGCCCCATGGTGCCAGCTCTTACTCTCCAAGAGGGTGAGACGGCAAGTGGCTCAGTACCCTCCACCTTTCCTGGCAATCGTGGGCAGGCGGCACTGTTTCAGGTTAGGCTTGATGTCCTTCTGCGGGTCTGTCTAGTAAAGAAGCAGCACAGAGGTGAAGTGGGGGCCGAGGACGGCGTCCAAGAACATCCCCCTGTGGACATAAGCGAGAGACATGTAATACCTTCTTGTTCGGCCCCACACACTTCAAGGGTCTCAACACTGGGACTCTTCCATTGGTTCCAGAGCCGAGCACAGACCGCAGCGTGGGGCTGGAACATGATGACAGTCTGGTCACTCCCGAAAGCCTCAGCTTGGGCAGCTGCATCAGGCAGGCAGGTCCCAGTCTCTTGGCATCCTCCTCTTGCCTCAGGGGCTGTTTCTTAAAATGGAACAAGGTCAATTCCCCTTCATGGAAATCAGGACAAGCAAAGGAAGCCCTTTTGCCTAATAAAACTTGCTGGTGGACGGTGACCCTACGGTTGAGTAAACCCCAGGAGTGTGGTGGCACTTGCTAGGACCCACGGACAGAGGCAGAGCCTCCCAACTCACTCTCCCTTCTTGGATTTTGCTGTTCTCATTAACCTCTGGCCCCAAGCTAAGCCAGCCACACTGGGGAGGCTGAGGGACAGACGCTGCCCCACTGTGGGTGATCCAATGCATGCTGGTCTCAAAACGCTGCAGGGCAAGCGGCTGCCATCTCCCACTCTAACCCCGAGCCTTCTGCCCCAGGCCGCCTGGCATGCTACTCAACAGTCACAGTGAAAAGCATGTGGAATTCAAACATCAGTGTGCAGTTTCCTCGGGACACAGCCACACTAAGGGACATCTACAGCACCTATCACACTGCAGCCAGGAGCTGGAGCATAACAGATATGCACAGCAACCTGTCTAGCTCCACAGAAAGCAGTGCCCACTCTGGGGGCCAGGCAAGGAGATACCCCATGAGACAAGTGTTTGAAGAGGATCCCTGTGCAGAAGGGCAGGGAAGGTGCGGCAGGGCCAGCAGTTAGGAGGCCAGGTGAGATGAGGAGGAGCAAGAGGTGAGGTGCCAGTGTGGGAAAAAGAAGTCTGGGAAGAGTGGGAGCCAGCATTGCATGACTGCGTCTGGCAGACACACAAGAGCATTTGTCAGGCAGCATGGGAGCAGCAATATGCTCTGGTGGCACCCCAGCTGTAGCAGACCCACATCCTCGGTGGCTAGCATGGACAGCCTTCAACAAGGCGGAGCCTGGCACCGGTGGCTTACACCTGTTACCCTAGCTACTTGGGAGGCAGAAATCAGAGAATTATGGTTCCAGGCTAGCCTGGGCAAATAGTTTTTGAGACCCCATCTCCAAAATCACCAACAAAAATAGGACTGGAGATGTGGCTCAAGTAGTAGAGTGCCTGTTTGGTGAGAGCCTGGTGAAGCCCTGAGTTCAAACCCCAGTGCCACCAACAAAACAAAATGTGGGAAGAGTGACAGATAGGTGGATGGCTGAAAAACTGAGTGATGAGAGGGGCATGGAGAACTCAATGTACAATTTGTGGGACTGAGCAAATGGGTCCCACGTCAGGCACCTGTCAGAGCACCAGTGATCACACATGTAATCCTAGCTACTCAGGAGCCAGAGATCAGGAAGATCACAGTTTGAAGCCAGTTGGGGCAAAAAAAATCATGAGATCCTACCTTGAAAAAAAAAAAAACCATCACAAAAAAGGGCTGGTAGAGTGGCTCAAAGTGTAGGCCCTGAGTTCAAATTCCAGTACCAAAAAAAAAATAAAGTAGAGAAACTGGAGACTGCAAAGGAAGTGTTCATTCCTAAAATAATCCCTGCTGGCCGGCTGAGGGCTCCTCTGGGCTTGTGCTCACTGGCTTGTGGCTTGGTGGGGACAGCATGGACTGCCCAGACTTAAGACCTGCTGTTCTTTGGGGGTAACTTGGCTAGTGTACTTTCTCTGTGCCTCCTGCCAGGGTCGTTCTGTGGATGCACATAAGTAGGTCAACAAAGGTCTTTGACAGTGAATGGCCATCAGGACAGGAACTCATGGAAGGGTCCTCTCCCTGGGCTCTCTCCATATGGAATGTTAGCCAGGGCGCCATAGCTGGTGGAGCAGAAAGGGCTTGGGCAACTAGAACTGGGTCCCTAGCATTCTTATGTGGGAGACAGTAAGCAGCATGATACTTGGGCCTCAGTGGAGGTGGCAGCCCTTCAGTACCAATATGGCAGCCCTGGGTGACACTGCCCTCCATGGGTGGTGCCTCAGATAGACACAGGCAGCCCAAAGGCATCCAGCACCTGCTCAACAGACCGTATCCAGATCACTGGCTTCAGTCAGTACCTGCTTTCTGCTCTCCTTTGAGGCGTGCCAGTTGTGACTGAGTGGTTCCAGTGCCATAGGATGCTCTGGTAAGAGAGTTCTTCTGTGGCTGGCCAGGACCTGCAGCTCAGCTGCCCTACAAGGGAGGGAGGAGAGAGTGGCTGCCTCCATGAGGGCTCAGAACAGCTTGTTTGCTTTGCCTCCAATCTGCCATTATGAGTGGCCCTTAATTCTTCTTTTCCTAGCAAGAAGGGTCTTTTTTCCTTTTCTGTCTCAGCACAACAGTGTTTGGGCTGGAGCAAAAGCTACCTGAGCCATTACAGCACTTTGTTTAGGCCTCTGGGCCCTCCCAAGGACCAAAATGCCACCTGCTCAGTCACACATATAGGAGTGTCCAGAGGTATAGAATTAGGTGGTGCTAGGCAAATTTCTCTCACATCTGCATTCAGCGTGCCAGAAATACCCAGTGTGTGCCAAGATCTTATAGCCAGCTTACACCATCTATGCTGGACATATACCAGGCTCTTTCAGAAAGCTTACCTCCTGGAGCCTTGACATTGACCTCAAAGTGGCCAAAAAGCTCCCCTCCCTCCCACCTCCTCACCCAATACCATGAAGCTACTGACTGCTTTTGGGGGAGGATACATCCAAAAATATCACAGTGGGGTCTGAAGAGGTACTGACCACTGTCAGGATAGAGAGCTATTTTCAGCACCAGGGGACCCTTCAGAGGCCAGACCCTTGTCCACCTCATGCTGCACAGGTCTCAGGAGCCAGAGCCTCCAGTCCGTCACACAGCACCCACCAGAAGGCCTACCTCTGCTCTTGGAAGTAGGGATGCTGTAGGGCCTGGTGGGCAGCGATTCGCTCGTCAGGATCATAGGCCACCATTGCGTGCAGGAGAGACAGACATTGCGGGGACAAATTGGCTGTCAGTAGAGGTATTCCTGACCCCTTTTTAAAAGGAAAATCAAAACTCATAGCTCTCGACCTGTATTAAAAGCCCAATAACAATAAACCATCATGCCATTATTACAGCACCTGGCCAGCCAGCGTCCTGACTCTAAGGGACCCACACCAAAGGTAACAGTTTGAAGCTCAAAGGGAGCAAGTCACACACTTGCAGAAACCAGACATCTGACTCCAAAAGTGAGCCTTACCATGAGGGGCACCTGGGGAACCACGATGTACCCATGCAGTCTATCGGTTGTGGCAAGCACCCCACTCTCGGGTGGGGAGTGGCAGAAGTTATGCAAATGCTCTTTCTGCTTAATTTTGTTGTGAGCCTAAAACTGCTTTAAAACAGTCTGTTAAAAGGGGTGTGTGTGAGAAATATGTATGCTATAAATGCAAGAAAACAACCTTTTCTGGGCAGAGGCCCAGTGGCTCAAATGGTTGAGTGCTTCCCAGCATGGATGAGACCCTGGGTTCTATCCACAGCATGGCAAAAAAAAAAAACACACACAAGAACAAAAACAACCCCACTGCCTTTCCTATCAAAGATTTATATCACCTTCTCACATGAGAAGAAACAAAGTTTAGAAAGGAGGAAAAAAAATACTGAACAGCCATTATCTGGCCTTCCTGGGACCAGGGCTGCTGAGTGCTCCCTTTCTGCCCACAGCTCCTCCCAGGAAACCCAGACTCCCCTCTCAGCTTCATCTATCATCAAAACAAAACCCTGTGGGGCTACAAGGGTCTCCTCTAGGCGTCAGTGTCACCCTAGGCCACAGAACGGCGGCACAGAAAGTCCTCACAGGTTGTCCTTCTGACTGAGAAACGTTTCTCAGCAAGAAATGGTTTCTAAGTCCTGTGTAATATTCTGGGACACCACCCACTCCCAGGCCTCAGAATGCCATGAAAACTTAGTGATGCTAAGGGAAGAGCACATCTCTGTGAGCCTCCTTGCTCCAAAGAGATGGCTTTGTCTCCCCATTCGTGATAGAGGGAGCCACAGTGAGTGAGTGAGTGCCCGGGTGCAGCAGGGCTGACTTGCCCTGCACCAGCCCTGGCCCAACTGCATAGAAAGGCTGGCAGGGGTGGCAGCCCCATCCACCCCTCAGGGCACATTGCACTTACTGTTTGAACTTGGTGAGGGTCTTCTGAGCAGGAGTGCCAATGACATCATGGATTTTTGAGATCTGGTCCAGTTCATTCGCTCCAGGGAAGAGGGGCTGTAGACTGCATGGGCACAGGGCACGGAGGTGAGTGCAGCTGTGGGTCTCCTTCTGGGCCAGGCTCCCTCCAGGGCTCACCCATTTGGCCTGGGCCTTTCCCAATGGTCCTAAGTGTTTCCCAAGAGGCAGGAGACAGACCCACATTGTTCTGGCTGTGCATTCTAGTGTCTGCAGCAAAATATGAATATTCACACTAACTTCTATAAAAAAGCACCATGAGCCTCCGGTCAGCCCAGGTGAGTTTCGCTGACAAATTCAGGGCAAAGCAGGTCTTGTCAACAAATGAGTTCCAAGAAACATTTTGTTTTTCAGAGATTTTATAGATTTTGGAATTGTGAGTAAAAGAGTTGAAACCTGTATTTAAAAATTCAGCTAGGTGCTGGTAGCTCATGCTTGTAAGACTAGCTATTTGGGAGGCTGAGATCAGGAGGATCGCAGTTTGAGGCCAGCTGGGGTAGGGTAGTATCTAAGCACAGTGGTATCACATGTCATCCCAAGCCATGCAGGACACTGGGATCAGGAAGCCTGTAGTTCCAGGCTAGTCCAAGCAAAAAGTTCCCAATTTTTCAAGTTTTCAATTGAAAAAAGCTGGGCATAGTGGTGTATGCCTGTCTTACAAGTAATGGCAGAGAGCATAAAGCAGGAGGATTGAGGTCCAGGCTGACTGGCAAAAAACTAGACCCTATCTCCAAAATAATCAGAGCAAAAGGAGCTAGACGCATGGCTCAAGTGGTAGAGCGCCTGCATTGAAAGAACAAAACCCTGGGTTCAAACCCCAGACTTGTCAAAAGAAAGCTTAAAATACAGATCTGGTAGTAGAACTAACTAACTTCCACTCAGGTTAACAGCAATACTTGTGACAAAAGGTTAGAAGAAGACAATGTGAGAGAGCAGGAAGTGGCTTTGAGGAAAAAGACAGGATGCCAGAGCCCAGCCCAGCTCACAGACCAATTCACTGGGGCCACCAACACTGGTCATACCCACCGGTCATCATGTCCCTAGCTTTTGGTCCTTTAACACACTTCCAAACTGACCCGTGCGATTTGGCACATGAAAAAGAACTGCCTGGTAGACTTTTGGCTTCAGTGATGTTGCCACTCAGCTTTCCAAATAACCAATTCTTACTATGAACACTCTGCAATCAAAGGAAGTGGGTCCTGAAGGGCACATTTGAGCACATTTCAGTAGCCCCAGGTGAGCAGCTGGGATGGGTGACCCCAAGTCCCTGCCTGTTCTGATGCCTCACCTGGAGACTACTGTGAGCAACAGGTCACTACCTCCCCCTCCAAGGGTTTTTGTCACTGGACACTACTCACCTCGAAGTGGGACCAATTCTCTGCCCATCTCCCTGGGCCACTACTCCTCCCAGCAATGGAGCCCAAAGCCCAGAGAGAAAAGGAGGCACTGAGGCCATGGAGGGATGGCTGGGACCGGGGCTTTCTAGAAGAATCCAACTATGCCAGAAGGTGCCTCCTCCCCACTCATGCGACTAGGACACCCTGCCTGCTATGACTGACCCACCCCTTAGCATAAGATTCCAGAGCCACCCATTTGTCCCTCCCCAGTGGCAGGCCTCAGAGGGTGGCAGTACGCTTGCTTCTCCTCCGCTCTGGAATCATTTCATGATCAAATCAGATGAGAACCACCCCCCACCCACATGGAAAAGCAAGCAAAGACAAGTATTCGACAAAAAGTAAGGTGAAAGCCCAGTAAATTTTCTGTTGAATCAACAAACAGTAAAACAGGAACAAAAACCCCTGCATGACTGTAACCTGGAGGGTAAAGGAAGGAGCTGGCCAGGCACCCTCCCCTGATCCACCCCCCTTCCACTCTGTGAGGTGCATCAGGAGTCTGGTCCTCTACCTGGCAATCTCATAAAACACACAGCCTGCGCTCCACAGGTCCATCTTGTACGTGTAGAACCCATCAGTGAGGAGACACTCTGGTGCCCGGTACCAGCGGGTGGAGATGTATTCTGTATATGGCTGCTTGGAATAGACACTGCAGCAGGACCCAAAGTCCCCCAGTTTCAGGATGTCCTGCTGAAAGGGGAAAAAGCAGGGACAAGTACCATCTTGCTGCACAGCTAGCATCACGAACCATTTCAAATGTTCATGTACTGACTGGAAAATGCCCCACATTTAAACAGCTTGGAGAACAATTTGCTGGTTTTCTAAACCCTGCAAATGCCTCAGTGGTGTTTCTATTTGGTGGATTGTGTCTATAAACACTCTGGCCAAGTTTAAAATAGATTTCTAACTTCTATGTGTTTTCAAGGTGATTAGGAGTTCCACTCAGCAGTTGTATGTCCTCTTGGCCACAATTCCTGAAGCCATAAGCTCTGGGGTGTCTCAGTTCTTGGCTTGTGCATGGACTCTTGCAGCCATGTGGCTTCAGGTGACGGAACAGGACACATGGCATGCTTTATAATCTCCAGTGGTGCAAGTGGCTTCAGAGAAGACAGACCTCAAGGCTGGACCCCAAATCTCTGGAGTGAGACAGACCTCAAATTTGGTGGGAGGTCAAATCCTGCCTGGTCTACCCTGACATTTAGTGTTGAGAATGGCCATTTGGATGGAACAGATCTTTGCCTGTAGTGTTCTTCCAGGAGTGCAGCCAATTATGTTTATGGCATTTATTAACTAAATCTTTTTCCCAAACTGGGAGGGAAAAAAATAATCTAAAAAAGCAGGGGCTGGAGATGTAGCTCAGTGGTAGAGCCTGTCCATAATACATAAGGCCCTGAGTTCCATTCCCACCACCACAAAAAACCAAAACCAAAAAAACAACCCACTACACTGTCCAGCTGTCTAGGACTGAGAGCACATCCAGTGAAGATGCTTTATATTCTACTACCAAGTTTTCATATAAAAGTTCTTACCTTTATTAGAATATTTTCTGGTTTTACATCTCTGTGAAATATTCCATTTCTGCATTTAATATAAAAGGAAGGAAGAACAGAATTAATCGCACCTCACTGATTCAAACTCTTCCACTGGAATTGTGTTTGCAGGAGTGTTGCTGCAGTCTCTGAGTGCTTACCTGTGCATGTGGTCAAGGGACTTACACAACTGATACATATAGTGCATAATTTTTTTTTCTGATAATGGTTGTCTTCTCCCTGTGCAGTCAAAGAAATAGGCAAATATGGTTACTAATGTTCCATATTCCCTTTTTTAAATAAAAAATATAATCTATTTTTATTTAATAGTGTGTAAAAACCTAAGTTCCTCTGTAAAAAATAATCCTAAGCAGTTTTAGGAAATATGGAACATATCTAAAAAATCTATACCATTTATATATGGCATGATATACCTACATACTGGCATGATTTCATTTAAAGTTACATAGCTCATGCATTTTGATTTCAGTGAGAACAGTAATACGACAGTTATGAGTACCATGGTCTGATGACCTTGAGCCTTCTAGGACTCTCCCCTTCAAACTGTGTTGGTCTTAAAAATGTGGGGAGTCAGCTGGGTGCCACTGAGTCACACCTATAATCCTAGCTATCTGACATGGGGAAAATTGTGGTTTGAGGACAGCCTGGACAAAAAATGCATGAGACCTTGGGTATGGTTGTACAAACCTGTTGTCCCAGCTATGCAGGAAGCTGAGATTGGGAGAATCATGGTTCTGGGCTAGTCTAGGGAAAAAAGTTTGGAAGATTTTACTTCAACAACAAAAAGCTGGGCATGGTGGCACATACCTGTCATCATCAGCTATGACAGGAAGCATAAAATAGGACTGTGGTCCAGGCCAGCCTGCAGAAAAAGCAAGACCTTGTTGCCACAATAATCAGAACAAAAAGGGCTGGAGGCATGGTTGAAGCCATAGAATCCCTGCCTCTCAAGCACGAAGCTGAGTTAAAACCCCAGTACCACCAAAAATGTAAGAAGTCACTTGAAAATCCTGTATCTTTCTGGGCTGAAATGTGATCTCTGGTATCAGGCTGATCTCAAACTCCTGGACTCAAGCAATCTTCCCACCTTAGCCTCCCGAACAGCTGAGAGTACAGGTGTGTAACACAGTCCCCCACTCTGAAAAGTTCCATTTTAAAGGGAGTTCAACAGAAGTGCCACTGAGTGCTTTGGATTCCACAGTCCATGCTCTCTTCCTTCACTGTGGACAGGTTCAAAGCATCAAGTTTACCCATGTTCCAGAAGGGGTCACATTTTCCTTGACTTCAATTTCAAAGCTGGTTATTTTTAAGTTCTTAAGTTTTAAGACTTCAGAATGACCATGAATGACCATGGTCACCCAAAGTCTAGAAACCCAGTTTCTCCCTCCATAACACTGGGCCTATTTGATGCTCTTAAGCCTGAATTTACAATTTTTTTTTTGTGGTACTGGGATTTGAACTCAGGGTCTACACCTTGAGTCACTCCACCAGCCCTATTTTTTCGAAATAGGTTCTTGCGAACTATTTGCCCAGGCTGGCTTCAAACCATGATCCTCCTGATCTCTGCCTCCTGAATAGCTAGGATTCCAGGCACCCAGCCCGCAATTTCTTTTCATAAATAAATGTATCCTTTTTCTTTGCATAACTAAGTAAAAATGTCTGTAATATGCAAATAATAGAAAGTAATTTAAATTGTGAAATATCTAAGTCCAATTAACTTTTTCATGTATTACCATAGTCTTTTTATTCTGTTGCTCATAATGTATTGTTTCTAAGAATTAAAATTTAAATTAAGATTCTTTTAGCTTTCCTGAGCTTGAGGAATTCTAGAATTATATAACAAAATATCTATGTAAGTATGAAAAGAGGCTGGTGTAATGGTACATGCCTATAATCCCAGCACTCGGGAGGCTGAGGTAGGACGATTGCAAGTTAGAGGCCTGTCTCAAAAAAAAAAAAAAAAACCCAGAAAATGAGCTAAGGTTCAGCTTCCCACGGGCTACTACTGTGGTCACACACCAGCTCTCACCCCCATAGAATGGGCCTCAAGACCCAGAGCAACTGAGTCCCTTCTCCACAGGGGTTCTTGGACTGCAGAGAACACCATCCCCCAGGCTGGCTAAGGTACAGTGTTCCTCCCCACCCCCTGGTGTGGTGAATGGGCACTGCTGGAGCTGGGGCCCTCAGCTGGACGTTAGTAAATGCTCCAGCCAAACTCCCCTGGGACTTTTCCCTGCATGCCCCCAAAGCTTCCCCTCAGCCCCTGTGCTCTGCTGTGCTGGTTCTGCCAGCACCCAGTGTGTCTTCACTCCAGATCCTAACACCTGAGACCAGCATTACAGTCATCTGAGCTTGAACTCACGAGAAGGTGGCCTCTTAGAAAAAAGCCTCATCCTGCCCACCATCTTTATAACCAGCCAGAAATCTTCTGAAAAGCAGATTCCAAGGCCCTCCCCAGAGACCAGACGAGCAGACTTCAACACCAATCCCAAGTCTGCTGCAGATGGACTCCAGACCTTGTTAACTCCTGTGAGTTAACTTTTACCAAATATAGTTTCATATAGTCCCATTAATGGGAAAAAAATTAGGTGAACAATGTCTGGTGCACTTGCTGTATGTCAGCACCACCTGAAAGAAAAGCACTGCCTTCAGAGCTTACACATGAACAGTATTCCAACACAAAACCCCCTCCCATAAGACCTCTGACCCCAGGCCAGAGCCTGGCTTTCCTGATCAGGTTTGGAGGAGCGTGCTGTGGCCCACCATGGCACAGTCAAATGGTTCTTCATATCCGATGTCCAGGGGTCATTCACTGCCCCTGTGTGCACACACTTGCCCTCATATGATCCAAGGAGCACCTGGTATCATGCACACCGTTGAGAGGAGCCAGAGAGCTGAGGATGGGTTGGTTACAGGTCCTCCCAGCTCTGCTCTTTGAAGCGAGTCTTCTTAGGCAAGTGAAAATGAAAATTCAAGTTCCTCACCTCTAAAATGAGGGTAGGAACACAGGACTGGGAAGATCAGAAATACCCCTATACACTGTAATACTCCATTGGCATACACAGTTTACAACACATACCGTAAGCTGCAGTGATGATGGCAATGCTGATAAGAGCAGTCAGTGTCCACTCAAGGACCCTGTGAGCCTTTACACATATGATGTAAGCCTCAACAACCCTCAGAGGGACACAGCCATCTCCTTATTTACAGACAAGGAGTAAGGTTCACAAAGCCTAGCCAGGACATCTTGCACATGACCAAGTATAGGTGCTGGCCTGGATGTGGTATTACGATACAGGAATTGGAACCATGTTTTCCAGATCATCAGCATAGAAAAGAATCCCAGTGACAAAATGCTGTATCACCTCTAAATGGCACTCTCTGAATGGAACAGAGACTGACAGTGTAAGGAAGAACAGACATCGATCATTCTGAATCAAGCATTCAAAAATGTAATAGGAATGCCCTAACAAGTGAATTCAACTTCTGTTTTCCTTTTTACATATGCACAGAAGTGATACAGGGAAAAAACAAATAGAACTAAAAGAACTCTTTTGGTATGATAAAATTTAAATTGCTAAAAGATAGTTTTATGTCATAGCTGAATTGGTAATGATTTCTTCTTTCCTGTTGGTACATAAAAAAATGGTAAATCTTACAATTAGTGGGTCAGATTTGTTGGAAAATAAAAATATAACTGAATTCACCTAGCACAGTAAGGTTTGCAAAATATTTAAGGTTGTTTGGTAGTGAGACACGAAGCATAAGCAGTTATTTGTGGAAATAAACTGTAATGCTGCTTTTACAGTCAAAGCTTGTTTTGTTTTTTCCTACTTGGTTTAGTCCCCCAATTCATGGACTCATTTTAGGATTCCTGCCCCACCCGCAGCCTTTGAAAGGTACAACCCACTGGAGCAGTGGGTTGGTGAAAGGCCAATCCACTAGACCAGGGGTGGCCAGAAGCCAATGGCCAGGATTTCTGGGAAGGCCTATCACATTTCCTCTTGCAATACTATGAGCACAGACTACTGTCAGGGAGGGTCTCCTGGTCTGAGGGGTCAAGGGAGGAGGAGGGGACAGGCAGGGAGCGAAAGCAAGAGACCATGTGGCTCTAGCAATTGGAGCTCTCCTGGCTCTACTTTCCAGGAAGCCTGACTGGACTTTCTGCAAGAAGGCTGAGTGTCTCTCCTCATCAGTGTGTGAGCTCCTGCCTCTGTCTGATGCTGCCACTCGTCCAGGGAAGCCTCAGCTTCTCCAGCTCCTAATTAGCTCTGCTTCTCCTAACACCTGCTGGACAAAAACAAAATCCCTGCAGTTCACTGTCTCCAAAAGGGCACTGTCTTCTAGTTTATGTCCACCAAAGACTATATGCACTTTGAATATCAAAAACCACATCTTAACTACTGTTCCACGAACTTCTCTGTTCTTGCCAGACTGAGACCAGGCACACTGTATGCACATAAATGACAACGCAGTACAGTGTGGTCACCTCCTTATTTCATTATTCTTTTTTTTTCTTTTTGGTGGTACTGGGGTTTGAACTCAGGACCTCACGCTTGCTAGGCAGGTGCTCTACCACTTGAGCTGTTCCTCCAGTCCTTCATTATTCTTTAGTAGCTAACAATGCTACTGAATATTCTAATAACCCAAAAGAATAGTAATTTAAATCACATAAATTGCTATTCTGGTACCAAAAACTTTGGCAATCAATTCAGTTTGTCATCAATAAGACCAAACAATAAGGAAACAGCTATTCATGTGGGTTCCTGAGCTGGGCTAGGAATAGAGAGCCCCAGAGAGCAACAGAGCATGGGGTGAAGGCTTCACAGGCTGGAGTCTCAGTTCTAGCACTGCCATTTCTTAATAGCTTTACTCTGGATTATTACCTAATCCTTCAAGCCTCAATTTCCTCATCTGTAACATAGGGGTGGCAATAGTACCAACCCCAGAGGCCTGTCAGAAGTAGCAAGTGTAGTGGTGCCCGTGGAAGCAAGCTGAGTCAAGCCCCACTTCCACCACTTACTTAGTAATAACCTTGGGCAAATTACTTTTCTCTGTGCCTTGATTTCTTCATCTTTAAAATGGGAGTAAAGCCAGATGCCCATGGCTCACACCTGTAATCCTAGCTACTCAGGAGGCAGAGATCAGGAGGGTCGTGGTTCGAAGCTAGCCCAGGAGAATAGTTTCGGAGAACCTGTCTTAAAAAAATCCATCACAAA